CCCCAAAACCCCAAAACCCCATGAGGTACTATTGGAATTCGAATTTTAGAAAAAATAATATTTTATTATCAATATATTTAAAATAAATGTAGCCTTCCTTAATATAGGGGTATTCAGAGATATCCTTATCTTACTCTCAAAAATTTAAAGAAATATCTTAACTTGCTATACCTTCAGTTTGTGCAATGTTTTTTATGTTTCTTCCTGAGATTATTAACGTGTAAATGATTGGAGTTACAAGATCGACACATGAGCTGAATGGAATAGTTCTAGGAAATCTTTTCCTTAATTTTATTCCATTTGCAGTAATGTATGGGATAAATGGGGCTCTAGAAACTTTTCTAAGTTAATCATATGGGGCAAATTAATATAGACTTGCTGGTGATTATTTAAATACTTCTAGAACATTAATGATTATAGCTTGGGTTTGTATATCCTCAGCCATATTATTCTCAGATAAAATATTAGTAATTACAGGTTAAGACGAGCTTTCTTCAAAGTATGCGAAAGAATACTTGGTACACTTACTACCTGGAACTCTTTTCTTGTTTTTTTATGATTCACAAAGGAGACTACTTCAATCTTTTAAAATGGCAAAAATTTAATGTTGTATTTGCTTTATATCAGCTATGGTTAATTATATTTCAGCAATCATCCTGATAAAACAAATGAATCTGGGAATTAAAGGAGCTTCTTTCTCAATGAGTATTACTTATTTTATGAATTTTATCTTGGCGTTCTCTTCCTAGTTTATTTTTGAAAAACTGAGGCAAGCACATTCACAGTATTCTTTTAAAGATTTACGGTTTAAGTAACTTCTGACTCTAGGCTTTTTTAATATGTCTATGAACAGTCTTAAATGGTGGGGTATTTATTTAGTTATGATCTTTTCTGGCTCAATACTTGGAGTTGTTTAATAAACTGCATTTATGACTCTTTTTAATTTTTGCTATATGCTTATAACTTTCGCTACTGGAATTTCAAACTCATTTTCATAAGTAATTGCATCCAATGTGGGAGCATAGAAGTATCATAGAGCAAAGGAGTATGGACTATTTCTCTATGTTGTTGGCATTCCAGTCTCAATCTTCTTTTCATTAGGATTGTTAATTTCAAAGCAATGGCTGCCTTACTTATTCAGCTAGGATTAGTTGATAATTCAATAGATAAATAATTCAGTGATCTATTCAAGCATTTCAATATTCTTTGATTTTTTCTAATAACTACATCTAGGAATAATTAGGGGACTTGGCCAATATAAAGTTGCTGCAATCACTAATTTCTTTGTTTATGACTTATTCCTTATCCCGCTAACATTTCTGCTTTTGAAATTTGTTTCGAACTAGATTGATGTATTATGGATTATGATCATTTCTACCTATGTCTTAATCAACATATGTTATATGATTTTGATATGGGGTTGGGACTTTAAGGGTTCTAAATTTTCATAAAGTTCAAATATGATTAAAGACCAAATATAAAAGAGTAGCAATTAAAAAATAGTAGATTAAAAACAACATTATTCATTAAAGTCTGCTATTTTGGAAACCTAAAGTAAATGAGGAATGGAAATTAACTAAGGTTAGTAAGCAAAATTATTTATTTTTAATTGTCAAGGAAATTTAATTTTCAGCTACTTATCTTATGGGGTTTTGGGGTTTTGGGG